GACAGTTCGTTTGATATGAAACTATCATTCTATGCGTTATTATTCTAAGGCTATACTATAAAACTACTAATTGAATATGAAAGCTTAATTAATAATTTTATTTTGGTGGGTTGGATAGGAGTGGGAGTTCCCTGCACCAGCACTCCTCACGACGAGCCGCCTCTGGTGCTGAGAGTTTTCGCAAACTCAGGCGCCCCATAAAACTGTACTGCATTTCACGCCTGTACTTACCTCTGATCAATAACTTTAATGAATCATCGAGTATATAACCAGAAATAGAGACGAAATGTCATTTAATTTGTTTAAAAACTATTCTGCTGTATCATTAACGTGACAACTGCGCTCCGATTGGCTAGCCCGAGTTCGAAACAATTGACGGGTGTCGTCAACTGTTTCACTTCAAATCGACCAGTTAAAAGCAAAATTACATATTTCATATATAATTGCCGGTGAAACGTGATTCCGTTTGTTTTGTAATTAGGTGTTTTGCTGTTTTTCCTACACCATCGAATAGAACAGCACGGCATTGTTTTAGATATTATCTTTGTTACAATAAATACAGAATATTTTTTTGAATATACGGAGACGTCCACACAGGTCAGTAGTTGGCCTGTCTATATTTCAGTGCAAACGAGAATTGATATTTATAAGAGCTGTGTCGCTAATGTGTTACTAGGATATATATGGCCCTTATTTCGTCTTTATTTCTGGTTATATACTCGATGTAATGAATATAAAAAAGACAACTGTTAGCTTTTTTAATAAATAGTACATTTTACTCATTGATAGTATTCTTTGACATCTTATTGACGTATTATTCATGAAATTAGCATTGACTTACAATTACATGGACGTCGGTCCGCGCTAAAAAGTGTCCGAACTTATAGGGCGTTAAAATAGTATACAGAGCGTCATTCACGCTTTAGTCTTCGTTTGTTCGGCTGACAGCGAAGCTAGCAAAATTAGACAGTACTGCAATGACATTACAATTTAAATTCAACGTTTTAGCTTCTTCATATTCCTTTATATGTCACTACGTTTAAATAGGTTGACTTGGGACATTTTTTTCGTGGTTTTTGTATTAGACCCGTCTTCCATTTATTTGTAAGTCAATGGAAATTAGTTAATCTTTTGAAATTTTACTTTATTTGTCATTTTCTAATGAAATTTCTAATTGCATTGATTAATTTTATTTAATAGTTGAGTTTTCATTTATTACTAATCATACAATTATAATTGTAATCCCAATAAATAGTTCAATGACTATGGTAGAATAAGTTGGATTTATTTAAAATAATATCATACTGTACCTTATCCTGACAAATAAATAAATTGTTTGATTGATTGATCTAATAATAGTCAAATCAAAACACTATATTGCTGCGTACAAACATACAGTGTATTTTATATTTTAATATCTCACTAATACCTCCAAAGATGTCAGGGTATACCTAGATTAGGTCTAGATAATTTAACTGTAAAGGTCTTTAGGTTTGACGCTGCAGAATTCTGTTCCTCAACAACGCTGCACAATATTAATTTTAAATGACCATTATAAAACTTTGTTTGCATATCTACCTATTAGCCGTAGTACGTCGTTTAACTACTCGAACAAAAGATGGCGCTGGCCGCTCGTAGCGAAGCGGTAGAGGTTGCATGTCACAGTCTAGAGCTGCGCAAAGAAAACAAATCGACGGTAAAATCGAGACCATAAATTAGGATGAACAAATTATACTCTAATGAATATAATTGTGGTCAAACATCGTGACATTCGACAACTTAAAAACTTTAGGCTCAACTCACACTGGCGCAAAGTCGAAGCGTCGCGTCATGTTTTTCGCCTATAGCATATTCATCTCTATTTTCCCATTTTTAAGGTACAAATTTGTGTTATGCAAGCCAGGCGTTGTGGTTGAGAAACAGGACGCGACGCGACGCTTTGACTCTGCGCCAGTGCAAGCCATACGGACTTTACACTGTTCTTATTGAAATATGGAAGACTTAAGCATTTTGAACTAAAACAAAAGAGAAAGTAATGATTAGGCAATATGGTTTCTGACCTTCGCCTGTTCCATGCGGAACGAAAGAAAAGAAAAAATAATTAAAAACTATGTTCTAGCCAATTTCGATATATAACAAACGTCCACAAACTAAAACATTATGTATTTTAGTGTTTTCAGCTCAGACTGTCTTAGGGCGCGTTCCTATCATGTCGCAACGTTTTATTTATCGTTGGACGACTTATCACGACCACGCGTGGCGCACTATAAGTTTCCGGATTGAATAAGAAAAAAGTACTATAAATGGTCAATAATGAATTTATTGTTTCTCAAAATATTCTCCGTTAGCGTTAATGCACTTTTTCATACGAATGAACCAATTTCGAAAACATTTATGCCACTCCTCCGTGACAATATCTGAAACAGGTGATGGAAATCGTTGAACGCGTAACTGGCTCTTAATTTTTGGAAATAAATAAAAGTCACAAGGTGCCAGGTCGGGACTGTACGCGGTATGGCTCATAAGGTCAAAGTTGTTCACCTTCAAAAATTCATTTGTTTATCTGGCTGTGAGAGAACTGGCATTATCGTCGTGCAAGATGATACGGCGTTTACGGTTATTTTTACGGAGTTTGTCAATAACTTCCGGCAAACAAATGGTCGTGTACCAATCACTATTCGCGGTACAACGATTCTCCAAAGCAACAGTAGCCACGTGACAGTTTTATAAAAAAAAGAATTAATCATCCGCTTAGATGCACTTTGCACGCGCGCCACTTTGGTTGGTTTGCTCATCTCGAAAGACCCATACGCTCGATTGCTGCTTTGTTTTGGGATCATGTTTCGTCATCTGTTACTATGTCTCACACCAAATTTGACGCCTCTTCGTTGAATCTGGTAAGCATGGCATTGCACCAAGTGACGCGATCCGTTTTTTGAGCCTCAGTCAAATTATGTGGGATCCACCGAGAGCACAGCTCTTTCACACCCAAATGTTTGTGTAGTATTGATTGTATTTGATTTATGCTTATGCCTAAAGATGCCCGAATCTCATGGTATGTCACATGCCTGTCTGTTTTGATCCTACGGCGCACAGCATCGATGTTTTTATTGTTCACAGCACTGGACGGGCGACCATCACGAAATTCATCACTGAGATTTACACGACCGCGTTTGAATTCTGCAAACCAGCTATAAATAGTTCTCTTGCGTGGTGCTTCATCGCCAAAAGCAGTTTGAAGCCGAGCAAAGCTCCGCTGAGCTGTCAAATTACACTTACAGTCGTAGAAAATCATACTACAAAAATTTTTACGAGTTAAATCCATGGTGATGTAGACAACCAATTTCTAAAATGACGCCACAATTTAAAAACAAGTGACGTCGTGTGAGTCAGATGAAACAAACCGTACTCTACAGCCAAAGAGGTCCATTTTCAAATGTTGTAATTACTTTTTAAATATTGTTTATGTAAATGGCTAGTTCCGGAAACTTGTAGTGCGCCCTATGTATGTGGCGTACCTGTGTCGTGGACTTTTATTTATTTTTAATCAATATGTACGTTCCTGCTCATGGACGTTAGACGAATACCTTCATCTGGCACCGCCAATTTGCAATATTATAATTACATTTTGATTAAATTTAGGTTTAAACGGAACGCATAGCTATTGTCCCGGAGCGGGAGCGTGTTACGTGCGAGGTTTTTGCTAGCGTCACAGAGCGGGAATTTGCCAAATAAACCAAATTGTGAAATATGGCGGTGCCAGACGAAGGGAAAAGATACTGATTAAAATATATCATAGTTATTATAAAAAATACATTTTCATATCGATTCTCGATTTCTTTGATCGTGTCACATCACTGGTTCTTGATATTTATGTCATTCTAAATACGCTAAATTGTACGGAATATCAAATGTATTATTTGCTTTTGGAATTCCGTTACTCAACACTAGATCGCACTTTATGCAATAGCTACATGGAGTACATGACCAGAAATAGTAAAAAGAATCCGTGGCAACTTGTCAGGCAAATGGGCCTTATATCACTTTTAAATATCAACTCTCGTTTGCGCTGAAATCACAAATTCCAAAAATATTCTGTATTTATTGTAATAAAGATAATATCTCTAACAATGGCGAGTTGTTCCATTCGGTGGTGTGGGAAAAACAGCAAAACATCTAACTACAAAACAAACGGAATCAAATTTCATCGGCAATTAAATATTAAATATGTAATTTTGCAATTTTCGTCCATTATAGCAAAACTCAAGTTAAACTGGTTAATTTGAAGTGAAACAATTGACGACACCCGTCAATTGTTTCGAATTCAGGCTGGCCAATCAGAGTGCAGTTGTCACCGTAATGATTTGGCAGAATAGTTTTCAAACAAATAAATGACATTTCGTCTCTATTTCTGGTTATATACTCGCTGAAAAGATCGTAGGCGAATTTACTCAGAGTTGGAAATCTTGTAAACATCAATGAGAGCTTTGACGCACGATAATGTTCTATGGACCATGTTATTATTATGCTTACTAGAGTAGTAGTACGTGTGAGTTTGTTACCTGTAATTAAATATCCGACTATAAGGACTGTCGTAGGTACTTACTGGTGTTATTCTGTGGATAAACGTGATGCATGTTATAAGCGTCATAAGGGTCATTTCCGGTCATCTGCAAGTCTTCGTAACCTGTTGAAAATATCATTTTAAATATATCAAATGCAACATGGCAAGAGATTTAACTAATTAGATGCTAGAGTCACCATAAAGGCCCATTTAGATAGAGAGAGTGTATCGCACGCTTTGTGACGAAAAATGGTACGCGCCATAAGATTATCAAATTCATTTATTCTCAGACCATTTGTCCATATTTGTTAGTAACAATCCTATACGCGAAGTTAGTAGAAGCAAGAAGAACAATTATCGGTGAACCTATGGGAAACAGCCGAGTCCATTCTTCCTGATATCATCCTCATGTACTATTGGTGCTCCCACGCAATTGCAACATCGCACTTTTTTTGCGCATGATTGCTTAAAAATCATCATCACACGCATCGGCAAACACGCCAGAGGCGCTGCAAAAGCGAGGAAGCCTCAACAGAACCGAAAAGATGTAATTGTGCTATGTGAAGTTGGTCCACAGTGCACCTGTATAAAAATTCTAGCAGTAAGCTCTGACTTTTCTACTGATTATCGTATCATAATGTTTACATTTAAAAATCTCGCCCACAAAATGTCATACGAGATGCTTACGAATCTCGTATGACATTTTTTCAAATTCATGCGATTATCGTAGAAATAGGTTCGAGCCGTTTTGAGTGCGAGAATTGCCATTCGAGTTCAGTGATTTATATCAGAATGATGAAAAAAATCATTCAGATTTGATAGTATTAAGTTCATTGCACTGTACAGAAATATATATATTTTTTATCATTTTTTTAATTTTATAATACTTCTTAACCCAAAATTTTTCTATTTTTTTTTCTTTTTTTTGTTTAATAAATTCTTGTCTTAGACAAGCAGTGATGATCATAACACCCTCGCGCACTGCATTTATGTTAGCGAATGGCTAGCACAAAAACTCGAAATACGATTTTTGGTTTCAAGTTCCCTTTATATTCAGACGTTCAATATTTAAAGGCGAGGCGATTATCGCGCACGTGGAAGGGCGATAATCGCGAATGTTAGACGAGGAAAGTTTTTTTATATTCTTTCGATAATCGTATTTTCGAGACGAGAAACTCTTTCCATCTAAATGGGCCTTTATTATGAGTCTGAAATGTAAGGTGTATTTGTTTGTGCTCTAACAAAAAACTACTGATTGTTTTAATGATTTTCTTGTTTAATGTAGTAAATTTACATCTGTTATAAGTACTGTATTTGGCTTACAGCATAACGTAGTTTCTGCCAAAATAACAAAATAGTATGTTTGAGAGAACCAAGAGGAAAAATTTATAGAATTTTGCACGATGTATCAAAAGTGATACAACATTGATTATTAAAATCGGACTTTTTTCATTATTTTTCCTGGATAAGGCACAATTTTACACTACTTATTTTTTTTCCAATTAAATTACAGAGTTTATGCGTTTAAGGGTTACTCGTTGTGGACTTTTATCAAAGATATATTTTAAAAACAACAGCTGAGCTGTGGTTAAGCTGCTTTTACGGCTTGCAGTCTGTTTCTGGAAGGTTTGTAAATATTTGCGCTTCTATTCTTGCGGAACGTCTCCAAGGAACCTTCCTTGGAGACGATGAAAACCGCGTGAATTGAGCCTTAAATATTTTAATTTCCAAAAAAATACAAAAGTAGTGCCACGATTTGGCGAGCGTAATAGCGTACAAATTTAAAAATTGATACAGTTGATATAGAATGTTGCCGCAGTAAAATAAAATATTTTGAATCGATATCTGGTGAGATGCTTGAACATGCCCCTGGCATTGAAAGCATCAGCTTTCGAAAAAAAAGATGTCTTGAACTAGCCGTTAACCCGCTCACGCGATACATGCAGCCATAGACGCATACCACACCTAGAGGTGCCGATGATGATTTTATACCGATTTATCGGATATCGAATTTGTAACAGGTAAAAGAACTAATATTAGTTGCTATTTCGGTAACTACTCTAGCAAATCATAAAGTTTTTAATGCCTGTCATTTAAAAAAAATAAACAACTTCAAAAATACGTCACGACAATCGTGTGTGTTATTGTTTGAGCTGGTGTTTTTGCTGTTTATTTATTGAAATAATTAAGTAAGTAAGCAGCCGTAAGTAGCGTTTTTTAAGTTTACCCTGAATATAAATGTTTATAAACTATACTTTAAGGAGTAATTTCATGGTAAACGTTAGAACCACTCAAACGGAATATTATCATATTTACCCAAGTACACCAAAAATTTCATTAGTGCTTTTTAAGTGCAGGAATTGCGGTGTATTACTGCATTTTATTTGAGATGTTTTTGTTGGTAGTACGGAGGCATTTATTTAGCAATGCATAATAGTAATTTTTATTTATTAAAACTTGTATTTAAACTGAATCCTTTTCTAATTTGCGAAACCAAATAGCCGCCATTTTGCGGTAGGAGGAGCGCATCGCGTGAGCGGGTGGACAGGTCTTGCTGTAGGCGCGTCTCACAATGCCCGACGCCGTGCGTGCCACTCTGGCCGACTACGTCCGGACCAAGGATAATCCTCTCTATACGCCCGAGATGCCACTTGAGGTGTGGAAGGTTGTCATCTTTTTTAATGACGAGCACATCTGGTTTCAATGGTAGCGCGTCCTTCTTCCTTAGGTCCGTGTTTGGAGGTCGGACATTTATTCCAGCGTGCCTTTAATGCTAATGATTTAACGCCAAAAATGCCTTTAATGACATGAGTCACGACTCGAACATCCAGAATGAATATCAACATCAATGAATGAGGGTTTCTGAGGGAGGTGATATTCGTAACCCTAATTCACACAAATACAAACCGTGCTACGTCTGTGTTTTCAATTCAATCGACAAGCGTGCTAAGAGGCTTATACGTGACTCGGAATTAGTAGAGGCGAAGCTGCAGAGCCTTGACACCGCCGTAAAGTTGCCTGCTTATTGGTAATCCACAGGATATCACGGAGAGTGTGCGATGGAATTGTATAATTTGACTCCGCCTTCCCCTTTCCATCATCGGGGGTTGTGGTATGTTGTGGATATTCCCAGGATTAGCACAAAGCGTTTCGCTTAAAAATGTTATATGCTGAGCGGCTAGAGAGTAGAATTCCCTGCCTTTTCACAGTGAGAGTGAATAGGCGTTATTTAGGTGTGCATCATCAGGTGAGATGGAGGTTAAATGCGCACTTATGTTTAATAAAAAAAAACTGGTAGAATCACGTAGGCCGCTAGTTAAAAGAGACAACTATGAGTTAAAATCTCACCGTAACCTCTTCCAATGTAGTGATTGCTATCGTGGTACACTTCCTGCGACTCGAACTCATGACTTTCGCTCGCTGCCGGCCAGTACACTCCGCCGTCCATAGGGCTGCCTGTCGACAATCAACAATGAAGCTTAATTAAGCGCTACACGGTTGAGTTTTACTGCGAGAAAACTGCTGCGATTACTGCGTAAACTAGAGTACACTTTTAAGTCAAAAGTGAAAAAAATAAATTTTTTTATGTAATATCAAGTGACACGACGGACAAGTCGTGCGCCTTGTGGTAAGCTACACGCCTGTCCATAACAGTTGCATTGCCACCAGAACTTGAAATCGCAAAAAATTTGAGGGCCGCTGCCACCGCGCCCGTTACTCTGAGACATAAGATGACAAGTCCCATGTGCCTGTAATTTCACCAGCACCCTTATCCTGACATTACTGCTTGGCGGCAGAAATAGGTAAGGTGGCAGTACTTCCCTGGACAAACACTTTCACGAGGAACTCTACTGCTATTTAACTGCTCAGAAGAACTTAACTGTTCAGCAGAAGGATTACATGTTATTCTATAAACAGCTACACTCTCTAACATTCAGCCAGTTCGAAAGGGTACTGATGAAATTACAGACATAAGAGACTTGTCAACTTATGCCCTTTAGTTATTTGTGCTTTAAAGCACCGAGTGGTAGGTAGTACTGCAACTGTACCACAAAGTGTCCGACTTGTTCGTACCGTCACTTGATCTCATACAAAAAAAACGAAGAGGCTTATTTGGGACAACCGAACGGACGCCTACCGGTCGGACGTCTCAGGTACCACTGGAGCGACGAAGTCCAAAAAAGATCTCAAGGTCCTTGGTACTAGCTAGCTGGTGGCTGGTAGGAACTGGCTCAGAAACGGCTGGCGTGGCAGAATCAGGTGCCGAAGGCCAAGATCCACTTTCAGTCACTGCGCCACCGAAGTAAGTAGATAAGTGAGTAAACAGCTCATGGTAAATTTCACATTGAATTTCGCACATGAATTCCGAGAAGCTCAAAAGGTGTGACACGAATTCGAACTCACGGCTGTCGCAGTTTTTTCTACCTCAGCTTGAATTCAATTTTGTCTTGTACTAATTAGGTTCATTTTCCTTGGGTCCAGCGACAGAGAAACCGACTCTATTTCAGAATTAATTTTTTTTACAAGCGAAATTAGAGCTATTTGTGAAATATATTTCGTATAGTAGGTATACATGTTCTATTTAGTTCAGTTGACATTAAAGAAACGTCATTGGTATATGTGAAGTACCCATTGACTTACAAATAAATGGACGACGGGTCTAATACAAAAACCACGAAAAAATGTCCCAAGTCAACCTATTTAAACGTAGTGACATGTCAATAAATATGAAAAAGCTAAAACGTTGAATTTAAATTGTAATGTCATCGCTGTACTGTTTAATTTTGCTTGCTTCGCTGTCAGTCGAACAAACGAAGACTACAGCGTGAATGACGCTCTGTATACGATTTTAAAGCCCTATAAGTTCGGATACTTTTTAGCGCGGACCCGACGTCCATATAATTGTAAGTCAATGGAAGCACCTATAGATTACAGCAGTTTTCTTGTAAAATTTTGAGGTAAGTTTGTTTTTTTTCTATTGTAAAAAATTTTTACTAATCATGTTCTCACATCGTATAGTAATCATTGTATAATTTGCTATATATTTTTTTCCAAGGTGATACATTCAACACTTTGACTGTTATGCGTAATCTACCAAAACCATTTGAGGCAGTATAGACTCTTATGTCTGTCTATTATAAGGTTACGGTTATAGGTAGTTAGATTAGTAGGTACGTTTACGAAATTTACTAGAATGACCATTTAATAGTCTCAAAAGTCACGTCAAGTCAGTCAAATAAATGGAGAAAAGACCTTGTTAATAAAGATGTCTTCAATGGTTTCCACTTACCTTCCTTAGGCAGCAGATTAAGCTCTGCTGCATACGCAGTCCGTAGAATACGTGAGCTTACCGATGTTGCCACTGCTAGACTAGTTACACTTTAGTTACTTCCATAGTATAATTTCCTACGGGATTCGGGATATACAAACCATATTTGTATTGCAAACACGAGCGATTCGTTCTGTGTACCGTTTAGGTTTTGAGGTTTCTCCCAGAGAACAGTTTAAGGAGACTAGTATCATGACTGTGACTTCACTCAAATATTTTATATGCCCGTAAAAATATACATAATTTCATTAAAAAAGAAGACATACGTAATATTAACCTTAGAACTAAGTCCAAACTCATGGTACCACGAATTCGTTAAAATAACGATTCTTTTATGGGGAACTATATACGTTTTTACAATAAGATTCCGGAGCATATAATAAGATTATCATTTCCTAAGTTTAAAACTTCATTAAAAGTATTTTAATTAAAAAGTCATATTACAAAATTGAAGACTACGTGTTAGAGAGCAATCCTTGGAGTTTCTTGAACGAGCAGTTGCTTAAAAAATGACTATTTGAAGTGTAAAAACTTTGCCAATGGAATAAATTATTATTTGATGTTAGATTTTCGATACCCTATAGAGTCTCCATTTATCTTTCCGGTACGCTGTAATCCATTGAGATAAATCCTAGTTAGCATGCGCTTGTGCTTGTAACTTGTGATTTTAGGAAATAGTTAAGTTTAATCATACCTTGATGTGTGGGCTGGCAGTAGAATGGGGGCTCGTAACGGTCGAAGCCTTCGTCTGACGGTGACATGCTGCCGTAGCTAGACATCTAGAATAAAAATAACAATTATAACTTTGTTTACAAAAAAAAACCGACCGCAAAAGTTCGTGGATTTACATTATTCGCGCCCTAGTTTGCCACCCTTAGAGGTGGAATATTTTGTTCAAATTTAAATGGGATTCATACTGAGGTACCCTCATTCCAACAAAAAAATCTTCATTTTTATTGAATTGTATTACTCCACTAGTTTATTATAGTTATTAATACCATAAAGATAGAATAGAATCAGTGCAGCGAAGATTCCTGAGAGCAATGTGCTATAAATACGGCTTGAGGAAGAAAATACCAACCTACAGCGATCGTCTGACTAAATTTGGCATGATCAGTCTTGAAAAAAGACGACAAACATCTGATTTATGCATGTTTCACAAGATTGCCAACGGTTGTGCAGATGCTACCTTACTCCAGATGATATATATGAAGGTGCCAACTCGTTCTGTGCGTATACCCCAATTATTCCGTATTCCACACTCGGCTAATAATGTCTCGAGTAATAATCCGATATACAGAATGTCTCGATATTATAATGACATCTGTGCTAATAATCATCTTTATAGTAGTAGTTACATAGTTTTTAGAAAGTCTCTACATTCCAATCTACCACCTTAATTTTGTTACGTAACTTTTTCATTATTTTTTGTAATATCTCTCAATGGTGCTGTTTATTTGTTATATATATATATATATATATATATAGTTAATTTCTAGGTGCTACTGTTTATTATAAATACTAAAGTGTTGTGTATAGCTATAATTGGGTTGTAGGTTTATAACCATTCATGTAGAATAGTTTTTGTCTGTTATAAATTATGATCTGTAATCTGTTGCTGTACCTTATCCAATAAAAATAAAAGTAAAAAAGTAGCTGTAAAGGTATCTAACTGCGTAACGAAAGATTTCAAGAATTAAGATTTCTCATAGATGGCGTTACGGCTAAAAAGTCGTTGAAAAACCAAAATAACAAGACACGACAACAAATACATAGAAAAATTCGTGAGGTCCGCTGGTTCGTTCCGTGGTTTAGTTGGTATAGCGTCTGTCACGGTATGCTAGAAGACGTCGGTTCGAATCCGGCCGGATCGAAGGAATTCGATCCTTGTGTTAATAATTGTAAAAAAAGAATCATCAAATTCGATTCACAAAGTTATCGCGTAACATAAGCACTAAAAAAATCTAATAAAAGAACCTCCTCCTTTAAAGTCGGTTAAAAATAATGTATGTTATAAAGCGCAGGCCACACCGCGAACGAAGCAAAGCCAGCTCAACTCACGTTGCTGCATGTGACAAAGATGAAAACTTAACTTGCTTAACCAGAGATTGAAATAAGAGATTTCTACAAAATAAATTATACTTTAGTAAAGTACCCAACTGCTATTGGAAATGAAACCTGTTTCTTTTGGATCTAACCCGTTGCTTTGTTAACGCAGGGTTTTAATCGGATTAAAACCCATTAACTCCCGAAATCAAGGGTAACTATATACTACTACTACTAATATTGGATATAACTGGTTGATGACTGTACCACCTCGGTCAACCGTGACCTTGGGACCAGTAAAGGGCCCGAAACGTTGGTTTGTTTGTAAAAACAAATATAAACGATTCAAATCCGGAAAAATAGTTTCATTTCCTATGTTTAGCAATCGCGAAAACTTAAGAACTCGATTACTGTTCTTCTTACCATAATTAACATTTTCTCAGGCAAGAAAACAAAATATTAAAGTCTTTGCTTCACGTAGTTATTCGACGAAAGTAACTTTATAACCTTTAACATTGTTTTTATTCAGAAAAACGTTCCCACAAAACGCGATCTTTATCAGCTTCAAGTAAAACGTTTAGATTTATAAATAACTGCTCAAGTGGTGCAGCGGGGAGCCGTGCTCAGTAGTAGGATGTAAAATGATACAACGATCTCAAGTGCCACTTGAGACAAACTTGAAACAAATTTGAGACAAACAAACTACTGTTTTTGGATCATCTTTTTGGAGTTATAGTATGGCATCGAGTATATAACCAGAAATAGAGACGAAATAAGGGCCATCCATCTCTGGCAAATCATCAGGAAATGGGCCTTATATCATTTTTAAATATCAACTCTCGTTTGCACTGAAAACACTTTAAATTAGAAAACTGAAGTAGTACAGCTTCAACAAATGACCTGAGTGT